TATCAACATGTCCTCACATACACTTCGTCTAAAGAATAGCATCCTCATTGGAGTCGTACGTTGTCATGTAGTCAATTCCTGTTGTAACTTAAACATCCTTAATTTTAATTTTCAAAAATGTTACTTAAATTTAATCATATAAGGGGTTTTTACCCATATATTTAGTGGCTCTAAACATATACATCCAATAAGTATTAACACCTTTTGTAATTCCCTTGGTCAAAATTTTAACTTTCACTTTAACTTCAATTTGATTTAATTAAAGGTGTTATACTTTTTATGATAGCACTGATGATGGAATACTTATTCTAAAACATTCTGTGATGTAGGCCGGTAAGGTTTTTTTAATAATATACGTTATATAAAAGAATTTTTAAACGAATTTTTTGTTTATTCTTTTCTCCGGGACACTAAAGTTTTTTTCTTCGAAGATTTTCTAAAACGCAAATAGAATGGATCATAAAATACATGAGTTAAAACTTTATACAGAACGGTACAATTAAAGTGCTACCGGGTTAGATTGCCACGGATACATATTAATTATTAAGAACAGCAAAAGACAAGATCAACTTTATACATTCATGGTATATCTTCAGAAATGGAAAAAACATCTAAAGAAGAAGAAGAAGAAACTTAATATTGTTCTGAAGCTATTTTCTTGTGGCATTGTAAATTAATTACTATTTATAACTGGGAATAAGCCACATTAAAGATAAAAATACATTTATTGACGTTTCAATTTCCAATTCGGAAATCGTTCTCAAAATACAAATAGTAAATCCTTTATCGTTTATAAATAAGGAATTTTCAACAATCGATCGAATAGAACAGAACAACTTAGAACGAGATCCTACAGCATACACAAGGAATAATATGAGGAAAATAACAATACCGTACATAAAAGGATTATCAGAAAAACTTAAAAGGATAGGAAATAAATTCAACATTTCAACAACATTCAAAACAACAAACACGTTGAGATCTATTTTGTCCAAAACCAAACCTAACAATGAACAAGAAAGGACAAAGAATTGCATTTATAAAATACCTTGTGAATGCGATCAGTTTTATTTAGGTGAATCATCAAGGCCATTAAATGTTAGAATAAGTGAACATCAATCTTATATTAAAAATAGAGAATTTGATAGATCTCAAATATGTAAACACGCATGGGATAATGAACATAGAGTTCAATGGAATAATTCAAATATAGTCCTAAAAGAAACGGATGGTAAAAAAAGAAAAATCAAAGAAGCGGCTCTAATTATGCTAAATGAGGCCAATTGTGTCGCAAATTCCTCGGCAGAATGTAGTAGGATCTGGTTACCAATATTGAAAGAGGAAGTTATTAATAAGAAAATACCAGTATTAGTAAGTCAGTAACATATAGAGGATACATCATTTATGTTTTTTAAATAACGTAACATAAAATCAGAATTTTGATGTTTGTTGAAGGTAAACTAAATTCACGAACAAATACAATGTCGGGATAGTATTATGAGGTTTTTTTCCTGGTTTTTCCCTCATAATTTACTATGGAATCACTAACAGGAGAATTTTACTGTCATCATGTCATGTGTTTGTCTTTTTAAAGACGAATTACATGCTATGATTTTTTCTGACGGATATTCTCAAGTTAAAGTTGATTTCATGTAATCGAATGAACTATCTTATAAGTAAAGTCGTCCCAGGAGCGCAACTCAACAATATTGGCAATATCATTTTAAAGTCGTCTACTTTAAAATGCATAATGTATGTCTGAATTGTCAATATAAATATGTCAGATAAAATTAAATTATCAGAAGAATTTTTTCACTATGTAACAAAAAACAAAATTTGTTTAATTTACTATTTGTATTTTGAGAACGATTTCCGAATTGGAAATTAATTTACAATGCCACAAGAAAATAGCTTCAGAACAATATTAAGAAACCGTTATGGGCCCAGCGTTATTCAAAATTTTAGGAGATTGGAAATTCTATACAAGAAACTGGCACACTGTCAAAACTCAATTAAATTTTTACGAAGATGTAGAGATAACAACCTAATTCCAAAGGGCTTGAAGTTACGTCCAGCTTATTCAAGCAGAAGGTTGGAAAACATTCTTCATAGAGCCAGTTTGTCCATGATCCGAGAAAGATTACAATATCATAGATCGAATTTATTTTTTGTTGAACAAGATATTGTAAGTATTGAAGATTTGCTTTTCAATGTGATATCAAATTCTGATTTTGATCAAATTATTTTTAGTTTACATATAGTATATGAAAATTCATATAGAAAACAAAGAAATATACATTTAAATAAATTTAATATTTTTTTAGAACAAAACAGTATACACACTTTAGATAACCTGAATAGAAATGATGACATATTAGCGACAGTTGTCAATCTATCAAATAGACATTTAAATGCTACGGAGAATTTAATACTGTCAAAGGGTCTAAACTTTGCTATTACTCAGCCATCCGTTCCAAAATTAGACATAATAAGCTCAGTGGAGAAAATATCTCAATGCTTACCAACCCATGAAAAGGAAGAATACAGAGTGTTATGTAAACTTGAATTGGAAAAATCTACTAAAATTGAACAAAACATAAGCAAAGAGGAACTAAAGGCTATAAGAACTTTAAAAAATGACGACTCCATAATCATCCTACCAGCAGACAAGGGGAATGCAACTGTAATAATGGATAAAATTCAATACGAAAATAAAATTAAAGATCTATTAATAAACGGACCTTATACAAAATTAACAAAAGATCCAACAAAGCCTTTGGAAAACAAAATATATAGAACTTTATTCAAGTTTAAAGATGTTTTAACAAGTTATCAGAGAGGATTAATTACACCTCATTACAGTAAGACTCCTCATTTTTATGGAGTACCGAAAATTCATAAAACGAATATACCACTTAGACCCATTTGTAGTACCATAAATTCTCCTTGTAGTGAACTATCAAAATTTTTATTAAATATTTTAAAACCTTATACAAATAAAAATGACACATTCATAAAAAATACACAACATTTTTTAAATAAATTATCAAATATTGAATTTAATTCAAATAATACTTTGGTAAGTTTTGACATAAATAGTTTATTTACGAATGTGCCATTAAATAAGACTTTAAGTATAGTCAAGACAAAATTAGAGAGTGATGATTCATTGGCAACTAGAACAAGACTAAACATATCGGCTATAATGGAGTTATTAACATTATGTACTGATAATACATATTTTCAACTAAATAATGAATTCTATAAACAAAATTTTGGTCTAGCAATGGGCTCTAGTTTATCTCCATTCTTAGCCGATATATTTATGGAAGATTTTGAAACAAATATCATTTCTAAACAAAATTTCAAACCCACAGTATGGTGGAGGTATGTAGATGATGTATTCTCAATATGGCCTCATGGATCAGAGTTGTTGGACACATTCCTAAACGATATAAACGATAAAGAAGAGACAATAACATTTACCATGGAAAAGGAATATAATAACACGCTACCTTTCCTGGATGTTTTGATCTCTAAGAACGATACTGGATATGAGACTCAGGTGTATAGAAAACCAACACACACCAATAGATATTTAAATTTCAAATAAAATCACAATATTAATGTAAAAAAGGGAATAATTAAATCCTTATACGATAGAGCCAAAATTACTTGTTCTAACGAAAATTCGTTCTTGGAGGAGAAACATTTGTTAACATCTGTTTTATTAAAAAATGATTATCCTTTATCGTTTATAAATAAGGAATTTTCAACAATCGATCGAATAGAACAGAACAACTTAGAACGAGATCCTACAGCATACACAAGGAATAATATGAGGAAAATAACAATACCGTACATAAAAGGATTATCAAAAAAACTTAAAAGGATAGGAAATAAATTCAACATTTCAACAACATTCAAAACAACAAACACGTTGAGATCTATTTTGTCCAAAACCAAACCTAACAATGAACAAGAAAGGACAAAGAATTGCATTTATAAAATACCTTGTGAATGCGATCAGTTTTATTTAGGTGAATCATCAAGGCCATTAAATGTTAGAATAAGTGAACATCAATCTTATATTAAAAATAGAGAATTTGATAGATCTCAAATATGTAAACACGCATGGGATAATGAACATAGAGTTCAATGGAATAATTCAAATATAGTCCTAAAAGAAACGGATGGTAAAAAAAGAAAAATCAAAGAAGCGGCTCTAATTATGCTAAATGAGGCCAATTGTGTCGCAAATTCCTCGGCAGAATGTAGTAGGATCTGGTTACCAATATTGAAAGAGGAAGTTATTAATAAGAAAATACCAGTATTAGTAAGTCAGTAACATATAGAGGATACATCATTTATGTTTTTTAAATAACGTAACATAAAATCAGAATTTTGATGTTTGTTGAAGGTAAACTAAATTCACGAACAAATACTTACAATGTCGGGATAGTATTATGAGGTTTTTTTCCTGGTTTTTCCCTCATAATTTACTATGGAATCACTAACAGGAGAATTTTACTGTCATCATGTCACGTGTTTGTCTTTTTAAAGACGAATTACATGCTATGATTTTTTCTGACGGATATTCTCAAGTTAAAGTTGATTTCATGTAATCGAATGAACTATCTTATAAGTAAAGTCGTCCCAGGAGCGCAACTCAACAATATTGGCAATATCATTTTAAAGTCGTCTACTTTAAAATGCATAATGTATGTCTGAATTGTCAATATAAATGAGTCAGATAAAATTAAATTATCAGAAGAATTTTTTCACTATGTAACAAAAAACAAAATTTGTTTAATTTACTATTTGTATTTTGAGAACGATTTCCGAATTGGAAATTGAAACGTCAATAAATGTATTTTTATCTTTAATGTGGCTTATTCCCAGTTATAAATAGTAATTAAGAAGAAACTTGTTACAGTTTTCTTTAAGTCTTGTGTTCAAAAGATCAGTCTATTTTTTAAAATGTTGTATTTATTTTGTAGGTTTGGTTCTGTAGCCTTCCACTCAGAAAACATCAACAGGAAAATAAAAATAATGAATGTTAGTGCAATTCCCGTACAAATCATTTGGTATCCGTTTAATAATAAGCTCAATGAGAAGTACATTAATGAAGAACAACCTTTTACTATTCTATTTCATATGTTTGGTGACAATTGTTCGGAAAAAATTGCAGAAATTGTAGTATTAGATAAGTATTTTGGAGAATATTGTGGAGGATTTTGTGATGTAAGTAAAAAATAATTTAAAAATAAGTTTTGCTTCTATACCACAAAATATATTTTACAATTTTATTTCGATCAAAATTATTTCTACCAAACTGTAGTCTATTTTTATGAACGAGAGAGTAATTAGCATAATTTTAACTGGTACCTTCGACCACTCCATGAGCGTGCTCAAGATTAATTGAAAAATTACTTTGAATAATTGTAAAAAATAAATGAATTATTTCAGTGTTATAAAGTGTTATGTGTATGTAAACAAAAGTGATCTCTTTTATCACACACTATATTAGAACTGACTGGCCTACATTAAAAAGGGTTTTAAAAAATTCACATTTTTTTTAAATTTTAAAAATTACAAAAGAGAAAAAGAGTTTTTAAAACCGTTTAAGGTATGTTAAATAGATGAATAAAAATATTAATATAAAACTTACAGCTACTTGTTACAAATCCAAATCAGATTCAGAAGATGAACTTTTAGAACCAAGATTTATAATAACTGGCTCGATCATTTTATCAGTAATATTGTCCAGCTTCCACATTTTTTCCTCTTCTTTAATAGTGTGATTTACTGCCTTTTCCCAGTTTTCAGGTTTTACATTAAACACCAAACGGCTTCCAAAAACAACTGTTTAACATCATGAATTTTAAAAGTGGTATTTTTTCTTGAAACTTCACTCTTTATGTGTGCCCATACCAGTTCAATCGGGTTTAATTCACAATGATATGGTGGGCATCTAAATACTGTCATTCCACGATTTTTGGCAATTTCATCAATTTCGTATTTTTAAAATTTTTCTTTATGAAGGGCACACAACGAATAAAGTTCCTTTCTCATAGATCCAGGATGGTACGTAATATTTTTTGAACTCAGCCAATTCTGCAAGTCTTTTTTCAACCACTTGGTTGTGGGCAGTCCTTCTATAAGTCTGGAGTGATAACTTGCATTATCCATTACTATTACACAGTTCTTAGGAAGAAGATCTATCATTTGTTCGAACCATTCTTGAAAGACATCATGTCTTCATGGTAGTCACCGGTACGAGTTGATTCAAAAGTTAATAAACCACCTTCAACAAAACCGTCTGAACTGCCAATGTGTACTATTATCAGCCTGCGTCCCTTTTCTGATGGTGGGTTTAAACCAGTAGATAAGTTATTTACAAAAGCGTGCCTTTGACTTGTAACAGTTTCATCCTGCCAAAATTTATTTGGTGTATGACCCTCGTTGATCCATGTTTCATCAAGATAAAATATTTTTCTTTTTTGGTTTCTCATTTCCTTTATGGTTCTTGGAAAATGTCTTCTCCATATGACAATATCGCTTCTTTCTAATAAAATAGACTTTCTGGGATTCTTTTTCCAGCGGAAGCCTATTTCTTTTAAAAGTTTCCATAACGTACTTCGACTCATTTCTGGGTAATCCTTATCATCTCGAACTGAGACAAGAACTTTATCCAATGTTGGAAATTCTTGTCTAAAGAAGAATTCATGCACTTTCCGTCGAAGTCCTTCTTTAAAATGATATTTTATTTGAAATTTTGGTTTCCCTGGATCATTACGTGGCATTTGAAAACTACCACATTTCTCTTCTTTAATAACTCTGTAAATAGTAGATTTCCCAACACCAAGTGTACTGCTAACTAACTTAACGGTCTCATCAACACTTTCACATAAACGTTTGTCTGTAAATGATTTAAAACAATTAAATATTAATGTTTTTTCATTAACTGTTAAAGGACCAATTTTTCGGCGTTTACACGACTTCCAAATTTTCCATAACACTAGTATACACAATAAACTGCACCTTGCAACTGAAGTACCTACTTTTAGTGAACTGTTAAGAATTTTGAATACGCCACTTGGACGTTCCTACAAAATGGAAAAACCCACTATCACATTTTCTGTGGAATAAGTTTAGAAGGTAATTATCTAGTCAATTACTGTCGTAGATTCCTGGAATTAAAGAATTAAATGTTTGATTGTTGAAACTCTTACTTCGTGGAATGCACTCATTTCAGATAAAATAAAACGTTTTATTTTATCTAAAGAATTAAACTTTATTTTGCAAATAGGTAGGTACTTATTAAACTTTTATTGGTTATATAAAACCAATAAAATAAACATCTTACATTTCTTGCAAATTCATTAGTACCTGTTAACCTCCATCACTCCGACACTGGCAACCTTATTTAGGGATTAGTAACCCTCACAACTATTGTATTCTATTCTGCTCCAACCTTTATACCTGGTGGTCATACTCAATTTAAAATTGTTTTCCTATATACTTCTGTAAACTTGTTGACAAATATCTGTTTTTCATTGAGTCACCCGTATCAACAGTTTAGGGATTTGCATACATAATTTATTGTTTTATTACTCTCTCATACATAAAAATACACTATAATAAGTGTCTTTTGATCCCAAATATATATTTATCTATACATAAGTGGAATCGAGGTTGAATTAGAAATATGTCGATATTCGGTAACCAAGTGAGTGTGTCCCTTATATTTTAGCTACTTCACAACAAGTTGTTACACTTGAATTGAAACTAATACTATATTTGTTTGTCTTGAGATTATTTACAAAATTTTTTAATAAATTCCTTTATTTACAACTTTTTCCATCTTTGGTGTTTTCTTTTTTCTGTTTCACTGTTGTACAATTAATTCATATACATATGCGAAATTAATAAAATAATTTCTGAATTGTAACGACTTTATCAATAGGGTTGGTTCAACATCATTAGAGATGTAATTAAATTTTATACAGACAATAGTTCTTCTTCTTCTTCTTTTATTGTAGACATACCTCAGTCTGTTTTTTATTGTGCCTTTAGTAAGTTGTCGTTTCATCGTTTTCATGGTCTTTCTACTGATCGTTTGCCTATTTGAGAAACATCTCTTGCTGTCTTTAATACTCTATTTGTTGTCATTAGGATTATATGATCGTTCCATTCTACATCTTTGTTTCTTACCCAGTCGTTGAATTTCTCCACCTAACTATGTCCCATAGTGATTTACCATCAATTTTTCTAAGTGTTTTCATCTCTGCTGTTTCTAAAATCCTTTTTGTCCTCTGTGTCAAGTCTTTTTTCTACTGTGTATGTCATTATTAGTCTGTTATTAAACTGTTTTGTATATTCTACCTTTCATTTCTTTCTCGATATTTTTATTTATCCATATTGTTCATTCAGCCATTCATTACATCTGGTTGGTTTTTTTGCTGACTACTATTGTTTTAGTTTCTAAGAAAATATTGTCATATTAAATTCTTTTGCTCCTATATTAAATCTATGGACCAGTCTTTGCAGACTATCTTCATCTTGGGCTATCAATATTGCGTCATCTGCTTAACAGAGTATTTTTATTTCTTTGTTTCCCATTTTGTATCCTATTCCTTTGTTAACTCTTTTGATGTATAATTTATAGAGCATGGGGCTCAATGAGTCTCCTTGTCTTATTCTGTTTCCTATTTCTATAAGTACTGTAAGTTTTCTATCTATTTTGACTTCCATTTTATTGTTTTGGTAGATGTTTTTGATAGTTTTGTAATATTTAGGGGAACTTATATAATTATATAGAACTAATTATATAGAAAATGGATTACATATTACTCTGTCAAACGCTTTTTTTAGGTGAATCAGACACAAAAATGCTGGTCTGTTATACTCTAGCGATTTGTCAGTAATTTGCTTTATAACAAATATTGCATCTGTACACGATTTTGTTCTACGAAAATCCTGTTGGAGCAACATTTTATGTAGGTGTCCTGTAAATCTGTTTTAATTTTGAGCTGATTTCTGCTTGCTCTTGTCTCTGTGCGAGAGCCTGACTCTTTGTTATACTTTCTGCGGTTTAAATGTCCATCAAAGAACCCCATTGTATGCAAGTATTCCTTGATAGGAACACTTCGAGTAAGGAAGCTTGTTATGACCCTAAGGTGATTCCTACTTATTTGGCAATAGTAGTATTAACGTATACCTGTCTAATATACATTTTGCCATATGCTTGTTCGGGTATAGTTTCCAGTCAGAGTCATGTCAAATTTGGAAACAAGCTCACTTCCGGTCGCGGATGATGCTATTTGAATTTTCTAAAGCCGGCTCTGAACCGAAGTATTTTGTGGCTAATCCTCTTTCGTTAAGTTTATTACCTCTTTCAGTGGCATGGGTTTCCCAATAACTGGGCACCCATATTAGTGCTGTTCTGTTTCTGTTATGTTTCATTCGTTGCATCGAGATATTTCTTTTGTCGGCATTTCCAGGCTATACTTTCCTATTGAGAGTATTATGTTCAAAAAGAAACTTTTTTTGGTCACGTATAGTGCTTTTTGAAACTTCTAAAGCCAGTTCATGACCGAAGTATTTTGTAGCTGTTCTTCTTTCGGCAAATTCATTACCTCTTTCACTGCTATATAAAGTTATTGAGGAATGATAACAGGTAAACTAAAAAAATAAATGTATGCAAACATTTTTTCTGAGCATATTAAAAATAAACTGAAAGACTAAAAAACAAAAGACGTTCTATAATCTATATTTCTACAGAAAGCAGAAGCATAGACCAAAATAAGTTGGAGAAGCAGAATCATAAAACTAATCTAATTAGAATAATTAGAGTGGTTTCTAATTTTTGTCCATGGTTGTCTTATAATCTGGCGACGTGTCCTGCCCACCGAAATTGTTTAATTTTAATTGTATAATTGCTCAAATATTATTATTGCATCACCCATACGATCCGCTATAAGGACGATGTCATCTGCAAATCTCAAATGACTGAGCTGCTTTCCATTTATGTAGATACCATGCTCGTTCAGATGTGCCTTCTTACAAGTACTTCTCACTGTATACAGAATTTATTTGTATTCTTGTTTAGATAATCTTACGCTAGCTGTGGCATTTTGGTAGATATATTTGATTATGTTAGTGTAGTGATGGTCTATTCGGCATTCTTTCAATAATTTAACATTTTCTGATGGCTTATGGTATCGAATGATCTGACCCATCATCCATGTCCATTTACGCTGATGCTTTTTATCGAAAAAAGAGTACAGGATAAATTTTTCTGGTGTAAGAAGTTCAGCATCCTTTGCCCCCGATCATTCCTTTCGGGTTATCCATACTTACAAATTGCTACTTCTGCATCATCATATTTAAACCCCATTTTCGCATTATAGTCGCCCATAATTATTGTGTACTATGCTAGTGTGGCATGTAATGCTGTTTTTAGGTCCTCATAAAATTCTTCAATTTCTTCGTCATGCATGTTAAGGCTTTTAACATTCTTCTTGTCGTTAACAATTTTCGCAAAAATTGATAACATTTTCTCATTTTGATTGTATCTTTTCTTCCATTCTAATTGTTTATGGTTTGTAGTATATCGTTCAGACATGCCATATTTTTCATTATTTATTTAATTTAACTATTTTTGAAATAACAGGTAGAACAAAGAGAGACCTATATTAATCCCCATAGCGAAGCTTTTATCAATATTCGTATAAAGCCAACATATTTTAAAGAAGAATCTGAAGATATTAACATTGTGAATTATCTTTTAGGTTTGATAAACATTGATTCTCAATATACGTGAGTATATAGTAATTTAAATTATGATAAAATATGTATTTGTATACCATTTTATAGTTTTGTACGAATTGTTGCTGTTAAATTATTTTTAAAAAATAAACTTTTATCCTTAATAACGAATACCCTCTTTCTAAAGGAATTCTTTTAAGATTGAATTTTGTCTAGTGTATAAAGATTTTTAACTCCGAATTTCATCAACATTCATCAATTTCTTAAAATATTAGAAGTAAATAGGAAAAATTTCTCCTTATTTTGCTTTTTGTGTAAACCTGACTAAGGCTTTTTTCAATGTGCCTCCAGTAAGTAAGTTTTATTCTACTCTTTTATTTCTTACCTAGTCCTTGATGTTCTTCACCTTGCATCTCCTTCATATATATATATATATATATATATATATATATATATATATATATATATATATATATATATATATATATATATGTACTTCTAAATATAGCCCATAGTGTCTTACAATCGATTTTTCTGGCGATTTTCACTTCCTGGCATTATTTTTGTCATTTCTGTGTCAGGTCATATTTCTGTCGCGTATTGTATTATTCAGCGTTTCCCAAACTGTGCTCCACTATATGGCGATAATAAACGGTTAAAGATTAGAAAAAAGCGCTCCGCTATATCGATGGCTGAAAGCAACAGTGGGATATCATGTCCATTTGAAATTACAAGATAATGCTAATTAAAGTGTGCAGTAGTATTAAAAATCAGAAATAGATGACCAAAAACTTATTTTTATTGGATATTAATTTATCATAATCTAGTCAAGGAAGCCCTAAATCAAAGCCGAATAGATTACAGGTACACGACACTAATCAAAAACATCTATCAGAACGCTACATCAAGTATACGACTGCACGAAGACACAGAAAAATTCAGCTTAGGTCGAGGAGTTAGACAAGGAGACAATATTTCACCAAAATTGTTCACGGCAGCTCTAGAGTCAATATTTAAGGGTACTCAATGGCAAGATATGGGTACTCATTCGCTTAAAAGTCTGTCTGAGAGAGCAGGATTAAAGATAAACTTTGAGAAAACTAAAATTATAACAAATCTCGTAATGAGTGGAAATATAACTATTGAATATAATACCATACAACAAACAGACACTTACAAATATCTGGGACACGAAATCAAAATAAGCAAGACAATCAAACACATGAAATACAGAGGCGAATAGGTCTAACATGGGCAGCATTTGGCAAATTAAGCCATATTCTAAAAAGTTCAATTCCCATGTGTCTCAAGCGAAAGGTTTATAACCAATGTGTTTTACCTGTACAAACTTATGAAGCAGAGACTTTAACACTCACGCAAAAATCTGCGAATAAACTTAGAGTTACACAACGAGCCATGGAACGTGCAATGCTGAACGTGAGCCTTCGAGACCACATAACAAACCAACAAATCAGGCGAAGATCAGGAGTTCAAGACGTCATCGAAAGAACCACGACGCTTAAGTGGAACTGGGCAGGGCACTTAGCCAGAACACAAGATGGACGGTGGACAAGACGTATTATGGAATGGAGGCCCAGAAATTATAAAAGAAGCCGAGGACGACCAACGACTAGATGGGCCGATGACATTAAACGTGTAGCGGGAAACTGGCTACAAGCGGCCCAGTGTAGAGAACACTGGAAAGAACTGAGGGAGGCCTATGTCCAGCAGTGGACGCGATTGGCTGATTGATGAGTCAAGGAATGCAGCAGTAGCCACTGTATCCTCCACCGCCAAAAAATGCCGCTTTTCTCCAAAGTAGTCTTGGACGAAACCGTGAAGATAATTAAATTTATCAAATCAAGACCACTGAATACAAGGCTGTTTAGAATGGTGTACTATGACATGGGCAGTATATATTCATCTTTATTTCTTCATATGGAAGTAAGTGTAAATTCTGCCTTGGGTGGTTCGATTGTGTAACGAAGATTGGTTAATTAAATTGGGATATATAACAGATATTTAAGCAAGTTTAATGCAGTTAGTCTCTCACTTCAGGAAAAGACAATAACTTTAACGCCAATGATAAAATACAAGCGTATAGGCAGACATTAATTTTTTGCTCAGAATCGGTGAAGAACAAAAATCTGGATAGCTTTCCACTGATTACAGAATTTAGAGACGAACTACAATCGGACATACCTGAAGCTGTCTTTAACAAGTTCCACACTTATCTGCTAAATTTACTTGAAAACTTTCATAATTATTTTCCTGAGGAATTCCACGTAAAAATTAAAGTAAACTTCTGGGTTGCTTATCCATACCTTGCAATTAAAAAACCAGCTTCCTTAACATCTTAGCAGTATGAATGCCAGGTAGATTTAACATCGGATTCTGTGATAAATAAACATTTTGAAACTAAATCGTTAGTATGTTTTTGGTGTCAACTCAAAGACGCATTTAAAATATTGTCAGATAAAGCGAAAATTATTGATCTCCCTTTTGCAACAACATACTTTGTAAAGCAGCATTCTCTGACTATGTAGCTACTAAAACAAAATATAGATTTCGACTAAATGCGGAATTCAACCGGATATTAGTAACCTGTGCAAATCAAGCCAGCCATATTCTTTATATTAAAATGAAGACATTACGTATTTTAAGATTTTAAAAATAGGATCTGTGTGTTCATTTTATTTTTGTTTTTTGTTAGATGTAATTAAGTTTCTTCTTGTGTCTCTTGTGTCACTCATTCTCCAAAAAAATTTTGGGAAACGCTGGCATTATTGGTCTGATGACTGTTTTGTAAATTCTGTATTTAATTTCTTTCTCGATACTTTTATTTCAATATGTTGTCTCATTCAAGCAATCTCTCTGTTTGCTGTGTGATGTCTCGATATACTAGATATTTAAACTCCATGACTTGTTCTATTATTTGATCCTTTAGCTCCAATTAACATCTTAGTAAACTTGTTGTTATAACCACACATTCTGCCTTTTTTTAAGAAAATAACATGTTACATTTTCTGGCGGTTTATTGGTGCAGTATGCTTCTTTTAAATTTAAAAGGCTAAAGAAATTCTTTAACGTCATAAGCAAGCAAGCAATATTATTTAACTTAGCCTGAGAGACTTGCACAACCCTTAAGAATGATATTCGGATATTCAATTTATGGGGCAAGGAGGATTAACTCGTGTAGACAGAAATCACTTTCCGCCCTAATACTCTAGACCATCCACTTTGCCCACCCGATAACAGTCTGATGCGCTATAGAGTGCAATTCTCTTATCAGTAAAGTGCTTATCATGTATAAGTCAGGCCAGCATAAGACGCTTTATTCCCACGTCCCACTATTTCTAGTGACTTATCTTCGATCTGTATTGCTTGCTCAAGCCTCAAGTCCCCACAGTGACCTACGCTCAGTTCGGTGATTCGGCGATCGAAGATGTGGGTCCTTTTGTCCGTTTTTAGGTTTGGTAGTATTTTTTTGTGAATTGCGCTTTTGTTAGTGGTATATTAATGTTTTTGTTGGCCGAAGTTGTTATTTGCAGATTTTTTGAGGGCTGTGTGAAACATATAAAATTAATATTAGTAAATACTCTACTATGCCGATGGTAAGCGCATTGTGTTCTTTTGATAGAGCTACGATTATCTAGACTTTATTTTATGTTTGCTAATCATTGTTGTTTGGGTCTTCTGTGCTTCCATCTATCATTTTACAGCTTAATATCTCTTCCAAGATACAGTTTAGGTGGTCTTCTAGCTCAGCGAATTTTGGTTCTGGCTTTTTCGTCCAACTTATTCAGTACCCATATTTGATTTAGGTCTCTGTATAGAAACCGTTCAGCGACTGTGGGCACGTTTGACTTAAATTAAAGAAACAGCTGACAATATTACATTGTCATATTGCATCAAAATATATTTTTAAAATAAAACAATAATTATTGTGTCTCTATTTATACCATATTTATATCCTTTAATAAATCATCTTTAAGGCATATTAATTGTAGACAACGAAAGCAAAAGCCTAGACCTAATAACAGCACTACTCAATAAAATATATGACTCAGACAAAATACCGTCAGACTTTCTAAGATTACATTCGTCACACTAACAACAAAATTCATGCCCAACAATGCAATGACGATTGGAAATTGAGCTTGATGGCTTAAAACTTTTCTCAAAATCATCCATATCCGAATTTACAAAAAGTGTGAGTTTCAGATTAATGACACACAATTCGGATTTCAAAATGGACTGGGAACACGAGAAGCTCTTTTAACCTTGCCATAAAAGTATTAACACAACAATGCCGAGACATGAATATGAATATATATGTAGATGCATGTTTTATTGATTATCGAAAAGTGTTTGTCTACATTAACCATCAAAAGATGATTCATCATCATCATCATCATCATCCAGCCTCTATTTATCACGTCTACTGCTGGACATAGGCCTCCCTTAAACTCCTCCATTCCTCACGATTTTGTGCTCTTTGTTGCCAATTTTTAGTGATACGCCTGATGTCGTCGGCCCAACGTGTAGGTGGTCTTCCTCTACTGCGTTTGTCTGCTCTTGGCCTCCAATTTGTAATTTTGCTCGTCCATCGTGAATCGTGCATTCTCGCTACATGGCCTGCCCAGTTCCATTTTAGTTCCGCTATGCGTTCCACAACATCAGTAATACTCGTCCTTCTTCGCAGATCTTCGTTTCTTATTCGGTCCCTCAACGTCACTCCCAGCATAGACCGTTCCATTCGTCTCTGTGCCACTCTCAGTTTCGAAGCCGTGGTCTTGGTTAAAGTCATAGTTTCCGCCCCATAAGTCATGACCGGTAATACGCATTGGTCAAACACTTTTCTTTTGAGGCTGATTGGAATGTTGGTATGTTGGTATGATTAACCATCGAAATTCTGAGAATAATTGGAATTGACAAAACAAGACGTTCGAATTATCTCAGAACTACATTGGCACCAAACGGCAGCAATTAAAATAGAGCACAAAACATCCGAAGATATATGAATCTTACTAGGAGTGCGACAAGGTTGCGTCTTATCACCGCTATTATTTATTCTGTATTCGGAATCTATATTTAGAGAAGCATTAGACTAGCAACATCAAGTACGCTAATGATACCGTCCTAGTAGCAAGCTACGCACAAGAACTACAAAATATAATAAATGCAGTAGTTTGTCATAGCGAAATGTTCGGTTTACATCTAAACGAATCCCAAACTAACATTCTAATATTTTCTACAGGTAACTTCTACAAAATATTTGGAAGCAAATATCAGCAGCCAATGTAACCCAAAAAAGGAAAGCTTATCAAGATTTTATCAAGCGAGAAGAACACTCATAAATATGAAATTTTACAAAATCCAGACCTTAGTATAGAGCTCAGAATCCGAATGATCAGATGTTACGTTTTCTCTGTTTTGCAATATGTCTGTGAAAGTTGGACAATAGACTCTGAAACAGACAAAAGAATAGATGTTCTTGAGATGTATATATACAGCCGGATGCTGAGAATTCCATAGGTACAAAAAGTTACCAACAATAAGTTACTTCGGCGCAAAAGTAAACAAAAAGAATTACTAAACATAATCAAAGAGGGGAACATGCAATACTTGGGTCATGTATTGAGAGGCGGAAGATATGAATTACACCGAATCATATTAATAGGTAAAGTACAGGGCAAAGCATCAGTTGGAAGACGTCAAAACTCGTGGCTAAAAGACCTAAGGAGGTGCTTTGATTGCTCATCCGTAGAAATCTTTTTTTGGTTACAATTGCTATTTGGATCGCCTAACTTTGAAAGGAGAAGGCGCAATAAGAAAAAGAAGGCATCCAGCAAAGGGTCGTTTATTTTTCAGTTCTTAAATCTATATATTATTTTAAGTCGAATGTCCTTCTTGTTATTTATATTTGTAATCAAGCAGCAAATCTTCTTCTTCATTTAACATTCCATTCAGAACGTTGATTACCATCATAGCTTTCTTAATTTTATTTACTGTCACGATAAATAGCATGCTTATATAAATACCGTAACCATCTCGTAAGTTCTTTAACCATAAAGCCTTTTTCGTCCTGGTCTGCGTTTGTGTGCTATTTTCCCTTGCATAATATTTTGTACCAATCTATATTTGGGACCAAGAAACTTTTATAATTCTTCTTAAGCACCACATTTCTAAAGCCTCGATTTAGATCACTTTTATTCACAGTCTAAGACTTAAACAATTTGATCAACTTACTCAAGTTTGGTACTATTTACAAATATAGACGGTTTTATATTATGATGTTTACTTATTACGAATATTTTGGTTTTCTATATGTTCAGATCCAGACCTGCTTCCTTACAGTTTTCACCAGAACTGTATAATGTTTGTAGATCTTTTTCAGTAAAAGCTAGGTGAGTGTGTCGTCCGCATATCGCAAATTATTGATGACTTTACCGTTCACAGTTATTATTTCCTTATGTTTTTCAGAAAGTGCATTTCTGACAATTCTTTCGGAGTAAACGTTAAAAAGCAGGGGCGATAGGAGGCATTCCTGTCGTAGTCCTTTTTCAATGTTAAGATCCTCTTTTATCGTTTATTACGTCTACTTAAACCAAGATTGTTTGATTCCAATACAAATGTGTAATTATGCGAATGTCTCTGCCATCGAAGCCAATGTCTCTTAAAACTTCGAACAATATAGAGTCCTTAACATGATTAAATGCCTTTTGGCAGTCAACAAAACAACAGTACATGTCTACAGATATATCACGACATCTTTGAGGAAGTACGTTTAATCCAAACAATACCTCCCTTGTTACGGAAACCAAAACTCTGTGTCACTTAGGTATTCCTCGCATTTATTATAGATACGGCCATGTAATAACTTTAGAAAAATGTTCAATAAACGGCTTAACAAACTGATGGTTATATAATCAGCACAGGTTTTTTACTGTTGTCTTCTTAGGAAGAGCTATGAAGTCTGAATTAGACCAACCACTAGGTAGGTGTGCGTTGAAGTTATAGCCTCCAAAAGCAGCAACTAGGTGTTATTTCATTTTTACTTATAACGATGTGTATTATTTTTTTGTATGTTAAAGTCGAAGCCAATTATAATATTTCCTCTGATATTTACGTGATAAGCTCTTTTAATACTGTCTGTGAAAATTCAGGTGTCTAGAATATACCCGACATCGCTCAGTCGTTGTTCGTTTTCCTTCATCGACATTTCTCAAATCTAGGATTATAATATTAATTACGGTATTTATATTTTTCTTTCTTTCTTTTTCTGTTTTTATAGTTTTTTCTGTTTAAATTGCATTATCCACTTAGTCGGTTCTTAATTTATTTATTTCTTTTAAACTCTACTCTACTAAAGAAATGAATAATATGTTACCTAAATTTTTATAGGAAATGTGTAAACTACTACTATAGAAAAACAGATCCAAATGTACACCAAGTTCAAATACAAGTTCAAACACGACTAGAGGCCCCAACCTTGCAATTGGACTTTTCAGAACAAACCAAAAATTCTTTACATGTATATGCCAACGATATTTTACTGAAAAACCAATACGACCATCATAAATATGTGGTGTTACGAAATACGAGCGGAGTGGAATTCGAAGTCGATATGTATGTGGATTCTCCGTTTTATTTCAAGAAGTCAAAGCAAGAACGGTTTGATCGAATTACAATGGAGTTAACTGGTGGAAGTGCGAGAGAAGTATGATTCTTTACTCAATTGATATTAAAACGTCATCGTTTTAAAATAATATAGAAATATTTGTTAAGCATTAAGTATGTTATTCCTTTATCCATTCAGTAAAGATGCTATTATGCTAAGTTGGAATATTAATATTTTAGCGAGGTTTTACTAAAACCTTTCGCATTTATTTGGTCAACTATGAGTAGCCGAGTAGTCAGTAACATAAAGATGGGTACAAACATGTTTCCAATGCCGTATCGAACCGCGTCGCGTTCTCAAGGGTGGGCCGTATCATGTAACCGCGTACTGTACTTCGATACGTCCATGATACTCACACACACACACACACACACACACACACGCCACGCACCACGCACGCACGCACACACCCGAAATGATACTGCGAACGGTAAAGGTCGATTTATACATATCCGTGCCGTGTCCGTTTCGTGTCAGTGCAGAGTCCGGGTATTTTTAATGTTATATTTACACACAACCGCGTTGTAGCAGTGTTCGTACTGGGCCAAATATAAATAAAAACGTTATTACATATTTCTGTGTTAAATATACAAATATGTAAAAAAAGAAAAACCGAGCTATGTGAAAAAAAAAGACAAACCGAAGGAGAATTTCAGCGATGAAATTCTACATGATAAAAATTCAGTTCTTAACAGATGGGCACAATATTTCATCGAACATCTAAATTAGAAGATATTGAAAGAGATTACAACATACAAAATCAACAAAATATACAACGTCAACAACACAGTGAAAACCCAACAAGAGAAGAAGCATCAAATGCCATCCTAAAACTTAAAGGCAATAAAGCTCCAGGAATCGATGAAATCTGTTCGGAAATGTATATAAAAGGTGGTGATAAAATTTTGCAGCAATCCACAAACTAATAGTACTTATATGGCAGAATAAATTCGTACCAGAAGAGTGGCTAAAGGGAATAATATGTCCGTTGCATAAAAAGAGTGATCAACTGGAGTGTAAAAACTATAGAGGCATTACTCTGTTAACATTTGCGTATAAAATCTTCGGCACTGTATTGTTTGAAAGTCTTTGAAATATTTTACAAAGAATTTTGTTGGTAAATATCCATGTGGATTTACTACTGGAAAGTCAATTACACATCAAATTTAAGCACATAGGGACATTCTAAAAAAGTCACTAGAGTATAACATAGATACACACCATCTCTTCGGCGACTTAGAAGCAGCCTATTACAATGTGAAAAGAAATGCATTATATAATGCAATGATATACTCACTTAAGTTAGTTAATTTGACCCAACTACCAATGCAAAACGTAATTTCATGCGTTTGAATTAAAGGAGAAAACTCTACGTTCTTTGACATTAATAATGGTCTAATATGCGCTGGCGTGTCTCCTCTTTAATATTGCCTTGGAAAAGGCAATCACACAATTAAATATTAGAATGAACGGAACTATTTTTAATATAGCAACGCAAATTCTCGCATTCGCTACGAAATAGTTATAGTGAATTAGGACTTGTGGTAAACGAGGAAAAAACCAAATATATGTTAACCCCAAATATCCAACGCCAACGACGAAATAAAAAGACGCATAGCAATAGCCAACAGAACTGTTCACGGTCTCCAGAAACATTTAAAAAATTAAAACATAAAACGTGCAGTAAAACTCAATATATAAAAGACCTTAATAAGACCGGTTTTGATATAAGGGACTAAAACGTGGACCTCATCTCAAAATGAAGAAATACTTTTTGGTATTTTTGAGAAAAAAATTCTTAGAAAGATTTTTAGGGCCGTAAATGAAAATGACTCATGCAATACCAAAAACAATACAAACAATAAATTAGGTATTCACCACATGAATGAATGTATGATTAACAGTAGGAAAGTACAAAGTTAGTTCTTGAATCTGACGTCATGCGCGAAACGGACGGAATTAGGCGCCAATAGTAGCATACTGTGTCTGTGTGTATTATGGACGCGTCAACGAAGTGATATTCTAGTGTACCACTGTAGCACTGTACCACTACCACTGGTTGTCAGTAATTGCCTTCGTATCAAAGTGAATGCAAACGCCACGCCGTATGCCTTGAAGTCAAGATTGGACTAGTTTGCGTATCTTTTCGACATTCCATTCATTCTAGTCTGTTAGGGTTCGTCCAAAATGAACTCTGGTAGTCAAATTCACATTCTCTGACTCAGACTGTCTGACTTCGAGCGCCAGGTAGGATATGGCCATTATGAACGCTAGTTTTCTGCGCCGACAGTAAAGAACATTGGCTGATCAATGTTGTGTAGAACTTACAAGAAAACACGCTACAGCTATTTTGCTGCTTAGTGACAATTTTTTAACAAACTAAAAATCAATCAGAAGGGAAACATATCAAATTAATAAGTTAAGACATATTATTTAAGACATAGAAATGTTCGCTCCAATCCCCACGCCAATCTCCACGGCAACTTCCACCCAAATCAGTGTAGTGGTGGCTGGGGCTCGGGAGACTAAGTTCTCAGAAGCCCTGCAGAACACATCAGAGAGGATGTTGAAAGCTAGGAGCAGTAATAATCGACGCAGTTCAACCCAGAAGTCTAATGAGTTTAATATTATTCTTAATAAATTAATTAATTATAATTATATATAATATATATATATATATATATATATATATATATATATATATAAATATATATATGTATATATATATAATATATATATATATAAATATAGATATATATATATATATATATATATATATATATATACATATAAGATGGTGGTATTCTTGACTGTTGATTTAAATATAAGTTGTGATTTTTGAGGATGCAGTCAGTTTATTTGGCCCACAAGACAAAGAAAACTCTTTGACTTACTGTCAAGCTTTCGAATTATATTTAATTCTATTTCAAGACATCTATAAAAAGAAATATAAATTAACTAGTTAAAATTGTTAATTGTCTTACTTACTAGTCGTGAGATTACAGTTTTTAATATTGTACTCTACAAAACAAACCATAATAAATATAATAAAAATTTTTTTTATTAAAAATAACTATATTGTCACTATATATGTCATTGTCATGGTTTGATTACTGGACATATATGAATGAAAATACAGTTACTTTATGTGGAAAGTAAAACCAGTAACAATAGTTTTTATTATAATTTATTTAATTGTCTATAAAAAATATAAATAAATTCATATGTGCTTAAGCCAAACTGCTGACTGGATTAATTTATATTTTTTATAGACAATTAAATAAATTATAATAAAAACTATTGTTACTGGTTTTACTTTCCACATAAAGTAACTGTATTTTTATTTATATATGTCCATTAATCAAACCATGACAATGACATATATAGTGACAATATAGTTATTTTTAATAAAAAAAATTTTATTATATTTATTATGGTTTGTTTTGTAGAGTACAATATTAAAAACTGTAATCTCACGACTAGTAAGTAAGACAATTAACAATTTTAACTAGTTAATTTATATTTCTTTTTATAGATGTCTTGAAAAAGAATTAAATATAATTCGAAAGCTTGACAGTAAGTCAAAGAGTTTTCTTTGTCTTGTGGGCCAAATAAACTGACTGCATCCTCAAAAATCACAACTTATATATACATATATATATATATATACATATATATATATATATATATATATATATATATATATATGTATATATAATTTATTTATTATTTTAGGTACATATGTATTGTCAGTTCACACCTAACGATATATTAGACCTTAGTCCTTTGATATACTCAACCGAGAAAGAAAACTCTAATCCTAGAAATCAAAAAAGGATTCTTGATGAAGAGAAGGCGTTGACGAAAGATGATGAAAATAAAATAATAAGCATAACTAAAACATTAACTATACGTTATAGACAGCATGTTAAAAAGGTAAAATGATATAGGTTTATTTTTTCTTAAAACCAATAATTGGTAGCTCATTTAATTATCTCCTTCAAAAGGAACTATAATATATTGGGAAAAGGGTAATCCTTTTGGATTACCTTCAATTTCAAGGCTTTCCTTATCAGACGTTGTTCTTCCTTTCTTCTTTGATTTTAACTAATTATTTTTATGTTCTCATAAGCTTCGATGAATATGACAAAGTCTTCACGAATATTGTTATTATGTATGTATCTCAAATTTAGAGCAATCTGGTTAACGTGTTATACGTCGGTCTTTTCGTCATATATTACACAGTAATAATTTTCATTTTAAACCTGATTCATTATTTGTTCAATTATTTCTTCACCACATGTTATCAATTGATATAGACTGGTGCTACTAATGTATGTTGCTCGGGAAGATGCTGTGAATACGTATTGCTTAACACCTCATCTCCTGATGCAATTTTAAACCTTCACAATTCCCTGAAATTCCCCCCATTACTAGGTCCAGCATCTTCGTCCAGAAGTAGAAGACCATGATTACAGATGGAAGGGTGTAAGGGGAACGGCAGACGTAGATGCTCAGTCTGTTGCTCTCTCCAATAGAGCATGTTTGTTATATACACGCATAGCTTAAATTAACTCATACTTTACGTGGTTTAGCAAGACCTCTACTACTCTCAAAACTAAAAACATTCGTGGCAAGCGGGATATGTATTTGAAACTAATAATATTTGAGCTGCAAATGTTTAAATTTATATATCTTTTTAAATTCTTCGGGGGCATGGTCACTAAGGCCCCCTCTCTGATTTATTCTTTATTTATTCTTGTTCTTAATTGATAGTGTTTAAGCGTTTTCGTGCTTTTGGAATGTTTTTGAAAAAATATTTTTTTGTTGTTTGAAAGATATAGACATGGAGAGCATACTACGTCTTCAATAATGTTACCCAAAAAATACTGAAAAAGTATACGTGGCCACATGTTGTCATTTTAGCCAGTTGAAACACCTTAATGTCGTAACAGAAAGTACAAAAATACCTGGAGGCATTTTTAAATATCTCCATTAAGTAGATGTAGATTGTACAAATATATCAGCAATTTTAAAAGTTAAAGACCTGCTACGTTAGAAAAATAGGAGAAATATAGCCAAATATTTAAAAAATATAATTTAGGGTTTTTTTACTCAAATAAGACAAACCTTTAACAAAAAAATCAGAGCATTTTGCATTTCCTTTGATGTCCAAACAATGATGACAACACCAAAAGGGTCCGTATGACAAATTTACAAAAGCTGGCAGTGAAGAAGGCAAGCAAGCAAGCAATTTGATTAAACCCAGTCTGAGAGACTTACACACCCCTTAAAATGACATTCGGGTATTACAATTTATTGGAGCGAGGTGTATTGATTCGTGTTTTCAGGAACCACTCTACCGATCTTCAATGCTCCATCCGTCCCTTTCCCCCCTATAGCAGTCTGATGCGCGATAGGGGCTCACCATTAGTCAAATGCTTTTCGTGTGGAAGTCTTGGGTACAAGAACTGAAAACAGTATATACTAACCCGATTAATGCTGGCTAGGGTGAGGCGCTTTTTTTCCTGCCAAGTTCGGTGCCTGAGGGTGTGCGATCTTCGTGCCCAAGTTTTGGGGTTTTGTTAATTTTTTTGGACGTCTGTCGGCTTTTTGATAATATTTATAATTTTTTTGTTGGCCGAATCCTTTATTTATTTATTTTTTTTTAAGTTGTCCTGAAAATAAACATTAATTATTAAAATTTCCAGTGCTGCATGCTGGGGTTTCTTCTGTTAGTAGAGCTACGAATTATCTAGACTTTACGTGTTGGCCAGAATTTGCTGGTTTTGGGGTTCCACCGATGGAACGCATCATATCTTACTATCTCCCGCAGGATAGCATTTGTGTGACTCTCTAATTATGCAAACCTAATTCAGGCTTTTTATGCCATTTTATCTATCACCCTTACTTATTGCAGTTCTCTAAACAGAAAGCATTCAGTCAGGTATCTGGGTATATTTGCCGCTTCTCTGACGATGTTATTATGGTTTGCTTGTATATTCTTTTTATTTGAAATGCTTATCTGTTCCCATGCGAGAGGTGCATAAATGATTATTTTTTTATGCGCAGTTTATCAGTCTCATTTTAGTTTTATGCGCAGTTTACTTAAGAAGGTAAGAGAGGTGCGAATTATATTTCATTATACGTATACGACTTTATTATATGATATAAACGAGATTTGCAAGTTATGGGCCAAGCGTTATTCAAAATTTTCGGAGATTGGAAATTCTATACAAGAAACTGGCACATTATCAAAATTCAATAAAATGTTTACGAAGATGTAGAGACAACAACCGAATAAACGAAATTAGAAGTATTGGATTACCAAATTAAAAAAAAACTGATCAGTTCTAATACAGATGAAGGAAGTTAATAAAAGGATCGAAATACTAAAGGCAACCAAAAACTAAAAACAAACAAAGGAAAAAAATTTAACACGAATTTCCTTTGATATGTGTTTCTGCAAACATAGGATGGATGGATGAAATTTATTTATGGGAATTTTAAGATTTAAATGAGTATGGTACACATTTAGGTTTCATAAAATAATAGAATTAAAAATAGTATAATTAATAAGTCTCTGGAGAGGAATCGCTAGGATCATCGGTAGAAGTATTACTTAAAATGTGTTCTGTAATTTTGTTTTGAATTCTAGAACAATGGGATTTAAGACATCTTGGACTTAACAGAGGATGTATTTTCTTTAGAAAGTCTATCAATAAGTTCTTCGTGTGTTAACTATCACTCAACACGCGATGGAAAGAGCAATACTAGGTATATCATTTAAGGACAAGAAAACAAACACATGGATAAGACAGAAAACCAAAGTCACCGATGTGGTGCAAAAATCATTAAAGTTGAAATGGGAATACGCTGGACATGTAGCTAGGAGCGATTTAAACAAATGGCACAGATCAATTTTAACCTGGAGACCATACCAACACAAAAGACCCAGAGGCAGACCTCCTATGAGATGGACAGATGATCTGAAAAAGACTGGCGGGAAAAATTGGCTACAAGTAGCGTACAATAAAAAACAATGGAAAGGAAGACTTGAAGAGGCTTATGTTCAGATGTGGACGTGAATGAATAGACGAAGAAGAAGAAGAAGAAGAAGTGTTAAGTATCTATTGTTGGAGTTTTCTTTAAAAAATTGACTGGTGCGTTAGGTAAGATCTTCTACTAGGTTTCTATTGTTTTCTTGCTGAGTTTTTGATTTTTTAACTTCGTGGCTTCGGTTCAGCGAAGACATTTTCGTTATCTCTTATTAACGGGGGGTATTATTTCAGATAGATGTCGTTTAGGGTGCTGGGATGAGGATGTATCTTAATCAAAGGTATCCATTTGAGTCTCATTGGGTAGGTCGCAGCTTATCGGAGTATGCTTATTTGATTGAGAGGTAATGATTTTTCTAGACGTTTCAGTCTCATTAGGAGAGGATTGTGTAGAAGAATTTGTCGAAAGGGAAGCTGATAAGTCTACTTTCTGTAGAAAGTTTAAATGAACATTATTTTGGGTGTTGTTTGAAGGAATCGAATTATTTTTATTGAGAAACTGAGATGTCCTTGCTGCTTTCATAAGTAGCAAGATTGCTTTTCAATGGAAAAGAAATTTGATAGTTGTTATTTTCATAGTTAATTAACATAGAATCAGGTAATTTGTCTAAGCGAATTGGCGTTCTTCTTCTTCTGGTTCCTATCTGTTTCGGATATTGGAAATCATATTGGCAATCATAACCTTGCTCGCTGCGGCTCGAAACAGCTCCGTTGAGGTTTTCTTAAACCATGTTCTTAAATTCCGCAGCCATGATATTCTCCTTCTACCGGGTCCTCGCTTACCTTTGACTTTACCTTGCAATATAGACTGTAGCAGGGAGTAACGGTGCTGATTTCTCATAACGTGTCCCAGATATTGCAATTGTATGCGTTTGATCGTAAACACAATCTCTGGTTCCTTCTTCATTTTTCCTAGAACTTCCTTGTTCGTGATTCTTGCTGTCCATGATATTCTCAGCATTCTTCTATAAAGCCACATCTCAAATGCTTCAAGTCTTGTAATAGTGGTGTCTGTAAGCGTCCATGCCTCCGCCCCGTACAACAACACAATTAGCGTTATAAAAGTGTATCATCGGAAACTCAAGGTATGCTTGAATGCTGGATTTAAAGTCCCTATCGTGAGAAAGTCAATTGGAGTTATTAGATGTATACTTCAGTTTTTCAGTTGTTCTTCTATAACGCTTCTATAAGGAATACTTGGACATACGTAGGAGATAATCAATCATTCATTTGGAGTCATTAGTCTTCGGGCTTGAATACGTTCTTGATAAATTACTACAATTCCATTGTCGCTTGCTAGAAACTCATCGACTATCTGTTCACTGGTAAAGAAGATACAAATATGATTCTTTATAATTTTAGAAATAGAATGTATTTTTTTGGGATCCGCTTTAGAAGTTACTGAAGGTAAACTTCAATATTAGAGTTTGGGAGTGAGTGAAGTAGAAGCTTGTTTTTTGTTTGAAAATTTATTTGTAGGTTGATTAAGAGCTGTAGAATATAATTTTGATAATTGGTTTATAAGTAGTTTGCCAGAACTTTCCATGGTGAAAGTTTCCGCTGCTAAATCCATTTCCATGCTTGGGCTAAATAACCTGAATACAGCCCTGATGCTTATGATGGATTATTACTGGAAGGCCTGGTAATTAACCTCACGCCAAATCGGCAAAATAGTTGTTTATCCTTGATTCTGAAAATCAAACTTACAGTTTTTAGTCCAGAAGAAGTAACACTTTTACACTGCACCTTTGTTTAAATTTTAGATATAAATAAAATTCTACATTTGAAACAAAAAAATTCCTTATTTTGTCCAAACTAACAAGCTAATATTAAATATAAATTATCGCTAATTGCTGATATATTTACTGATCGGAGGTTCGATCGAGAATCCTAATTACTTTTATTGTTTGTAGTTTCCAATGGAAATAAGTATTCACTATCCAAACATATCAGTAACACCATTTTTTGTGGACTATTCAAATGTTCTACTTAACCAAGCCAATAAAAACATGATAACTGTTTTTAATCACACAGGTAAGAAACAAAAGTTTTTCGTTTGTTTACAGACTTCTTTGTCGTATTCATCAAGTCGGATAGGCCACAACTGACGAAATGGCCCTGAATATGATCTATTGGTCGAAAGTACTTGGGCAAGATTAAATTAATCACCGTGTTCGATAGTTGCCTTGTATACCGTCAAAGTTTAATTATTCGAACATTCAACCTTATATTGAAATACCATATCCTCTAATTAAAAAAAAAAACATGATTTTAAAAATAAATAGTGATTAACTAATTCAGGTCCATATCAAGTATGTATTTTTAGAACATACCGACCAAAACTCCGCCGTGTCTATATTTACAAGTAATGAAATATTTTAAATACAAAAAAAGTATACAGGAGCTATTCAAGACGACCTAAGCAATACTCTTTGATTTTAATAGCAGAGAACAAGCAAGCAAGCAATTTAATAAAACCCAGCCTGTGAGACTTGTTTACTCCTCAGAATTACGTCCGGATGTAACAATTCATTGGAGGGAGGTGTAATAATTCGTCTAAAAAACATTAATCACTCCATCGCGCTCCAATGCTCCAGACTATCTCTTTCTTTCCTATAATACTCTGATGCGCGATAGATGCACAAGTATCAGCCAAATGCTCTTTATATGAGAGTCATGGGTAATAGAATTCCAACATGGTACCCTATCTGATTTAAATTCAGGCTAGCGTTAGGCGATTTAGTCCTATTATCCTCTTGTGACTTGTTTACGAAACTAAAATCGCTTACTTGTTCAGTTAGAGTTAGAACTTACATTAAACAGTTGAAACTGGGTGCTCAAAGGTTTGGGCTCTACGTGCTTAAGTTTTTGATTTTGTTTATTTTTTTTTTTGCTTGCGCTGGTTTTTGTTGGTTCGTCTAAAAAACATTAATCACTCCATCGCGCTCCAATGCTCCAGACCATCTCTTTCCCTCCTATAATACTCTGATCCGCGATAGATGCACAAGTATCAGCCAAATGCTCTTTATGTGGGAGCTATGGGTAATATAATTCCAACATGGTACCCTATCCGATTCAAATTCAGGCTAGCGTTAGGTGATTTAGTCCTATTATCCTCATGTGACTTGTTTACAAAACTAAAATCGTTTACTTGTTCAGAGTTAAAACTTACATCAAACAGTTGAGACTGAGTGCTCAAGGGTTTGGGCTCTACGTGCTTAAGTTTTTGGTTTTGTTAATTTATTTGTTGATCTGCGCTGGTTTTTGTTGTAATGTTTATAACTTTTTTGGTGGCCGAAGCCGTTTTTTGTGTTTTTTATAATATTTTTGGTAGGATGTTTTAAAGAAAGAAAATCATATTATTGTACATTAAAATCATTTTACCTGGGGCCTACTGTGCTGTCATCGGTAGAAAGCGTCGTATCTCATGATCTCTCGCATTATGTGACTTACGTGATTCTTCAGTTCCGCGAATTTTGTCCTGGCTTTTTCCCTCATTATTTCAGTCACTCTGGGCATGTTGTACTTCTTTGTATAAGAATCTTTCGCAAAGTAATTCAGTACGTTGGCTGCCCCTCTTAGGCCGCTGTTGTATGCCGCTTGTATTCTCTTAAATTATACTATTTATTAACCTTATTTTTGTTTTCATCCTTAGTTTTCTTTTTCTGTCTGCTTCTTTTCTTTTTCTTTGTCCGTTGTATCTCCTTGGTATTTTGCTTAGCTTTTGCACTCGATGGGGTGGTTTTACGCTGTCACTTGTTCCTCTGGTTTTTGATATCTCTTTTTAAAGAGTAACCGCTTGCGTTTTTTTGTAGTTTAAAGCAATTTTTCATTTTAAACTCAACTCTTCGATGTAGTCTAACGCTGTGTGCAGGTTGTTTACTGGCTATGTCCGTATTTCGATGTTTGGTTGCTGTCGCCGTGTCATCGGCATAAAGGCTTGAGTTCCTGGTGTTCTTGGAACGTCGGCGGTGTATATTGTGTACAGTAGAGGTGACAGGACCGTTCCCTGTGGCACTTCATATATAATAGGATTATACGACATCGATATTATGTCGTACCTCCGAATTGTACCTCTGAGAATATTTTTAGCCTATCTGTTTCGTCTTAACCTCTAAGGATGGCTCTTTTCACATGCTTACTGATTGCTTGTAGTAAGCTTATTGGCCTGTAATTTTGCGGGAATGTATTTTCTTTTCTGACTTTGGTATCGTAATGACATAAGCCTCCTTCCACCTATTTGGGAATTGCCTATATCTTAGCATCGCGTTGATTATATTCGTTAGATATACTATGGCTCTTTTCGGTAAGTACTTCAGAGCTCCGTTTGTTATTTGGTCTGATCCAGGTACTTTCTTTAGCGAACTATTTTCACTTGGTTCGTTTATCTCCTCGGCCTCGGACCTTTCTCTTCACTCTTCGACTTCTTCTATAAAGTCGATGTCTTCGTCTGGGTGATAATTTAATGTACACTCTCTTGAGAGTAGTCCTCATTAACTCCGATTTTTCCTTAGTGAAGAATACCATTGAGTTTTCTCAGTGTATTGGAGGATTGGTTTTATATCCGTTCTAAGTATTCTTTTGAGCTTCCAAATATTTTACATATTTGGGCCTTGTGCTTCCATGTCTTGAATGTAGTTTTCCCAGTTTTGACTATGGGGTTCTCGTAGTGCTGTTTTGATCGCTCTATTTAGTCTGTTTGCCATGTTTTGTCCACCTGGTTTCTTGTCCTTTTAGTTGTCTGTTTTGCTCTGTTATTTTCCCTTAACAACACTTTTACCTCCTTAGGTATGTTTTAAATCTTCCCATGTGCATTTTACTTTATCTTCTGTATTGCTCTTTCTGAGTGCTTGTATGATATTCTTAAACTCCAGGACTCTATATTTTGTGGGTTGTTTATCATTGAAATTATGTTTATTTCAGTGCTCAGAGGTGTCTTAAAGTTAGTCCATTCTGTTTTCCTTTTAATCCATTGGATTATACTTTCCTTCTGACATCTTCCTAGTTCCAATACCATGGGGTTGTGGTCCGCTGTTCCTTCATTTAATTTCTTAATTTTTGTTTGGAGTCCTAGGTTTCTAGAGACGACAATATCTATGTGAGTGATAGTCCGTTTCCTGGGTAATGTGTTGGGTCGATGAGGGCCATTGCCATGGTGTCATCGTTGTTTTCTATGCAGTGGTTTAATCGGCTTTCGTTTCTATTCGTAGCTATATCATTCCTGTTTGGGGATCTTGTATTTATGTCTCCTATTATAATTGAGGATTCGTCAATGTTTAAGAACGCATTCAGATCGTCTTCAATAAGTGGATCCTGAGGTCTTACGTAGGCGTATGTAATCCTGAGTTCTCATTGGCTGATTTCTATTCTAATTGTTGTAGCTTTCATGTTATTGAGCTGTGGGGTGTTAGAATTCTGATGTGTCTGGTTCCTTTCTTCACCAGGATTGCTGTGCCTCCTGAACTTGCTGTATTGTCGTTTCTATATCTATCGTGACCAGTGTCGTTTATGTTGATGTTGTTCGTGAGCTTAGTTACCTGTGTTGTTAGAAAATCCATTTCATATCTGTTAACCAGTTCGTCCAAAATATTCTTGTGGGTCCTTATGCTTCCTGGGTTCTAGAAACCTATCCTCATATAGCAAGGATCATACCCACATCATTTATCACAATTTTATTTAGTATAGATACTCTTTTATCAATCACATGTTTTAAATCTTTATTTGTCTGTTTATTTAACAGATTTTTATTTTTTTAATTATTGTATAAAATATATTTTAGGTTGTGTGGTCAAATTCGAAATTAGAAAATCTAGAAACGCCAATTCTTTTGTAATAACTCCGCACTATGGAGAAATACCTGCAAGTACGGGAAAATTAAAGCAGTTTGTAAATATCTTTATTTATTTCTGTGCGACGTAAGTACAAAATATTTTTAAAATTGTATTTATTACAGTAGGTATTTAAACTTATCTATAACTATACCCTATTAGCATTGTTTAAATAGGACTAGTTAGCCAACGCAATGTAAAAATTTGTTTGATTCTAATTGAGACAGTCACTAGATGTCACCACTCTTTCTGTCTCAATAGATTTTAATGTACTATTGTTTTGTTTGATATACGTTATAATAGATGGTGCTATGTGAAAAAGTTAAAGACTAAACTTAACGTCCATTTTTGATCCCATGAATTAAATTCGCCAGCGTTGCAATATTTCACTGACAATAGTAACAGGTTTATTTACAAATAAAAATGTTACAAAAAACAGACCATGAATCACGTAAGGTATTCATTTAAAATATAATTATTACTATCAACAAGTAAATATCGTGTCAACTAAAATAGTACACAAACAGATTTTGGCTTCTAAATCTTCATACATCTAAGTGCGTTTAAAGAATTTAAATATTTTATTTTATTTGGAAGTGTATTTAAAAAATTTGGTCCGAGGTAAGTAAAACATTTTAATCCTATACGTTTAAAACATAAAAAAACATTTGTATGAGAAATGAACAAAATTATGTATTTAGAAATAAATTTTATCGGATAACACATACATTCGATAATATTTGAAAGAAAGTGATTTTAAATTAAAATAATGTTACTTCCATAATAAATAAATAGTTTTTTACAGATGGCTGGAAATATTTGTTATTACAAATGTGCTTTATCACCATACAAAATTCATGAACTGAGAATCTTCAGATTTCCGACAAAAAATCCTTCGGCTTGTCAAACTTGGATATTACACTCTGGTAAGTAAACATAAACTTTATTATATTCTTGTATTTTACACCGTTTCCGTTACGTAATTAACTTAAAAAAATGTTTATTTTTTTTTTCATTCATCATTTTTATTATCGCCACAGTGCATGTATCATATTCGAGATGCATTAATTTGAATTTTACGTTTTCGTTGGTATTATAATTATGATATAATAAACTTCGGAAAAACAAATTAGTGAATAAATATCACTATTATTATTATTGTATTGAAAAGTAGAAATAAGTTCATCTTTATCGGAGAACTAATTTATACACCAGTCCATCTGGAAAAAAATCATTGATTTCACGTGGAAATCTTATACAGATATTTGAAGGTTCTAAAATATATATAAGGGTTAGTTAATGATAAATATGTGAAGACATACAGGTGATTTTGGTTTGTTTTTGTTTAAAACAATTTTAAAAAGTGAGAGGTCATTCTTTTGCCTATAAAACGTTTTTTATTCAGTTTAGAAAAAAATAGTTGAAATAAAAATTGTAGATCTTAAAAAGTTCTTCCATTTGCGAGTTTCTGTTAAAATACATAAATAATTCACCAAAATAGTTGCAAAAACCTTTGCTTTTGCAGAAATTTATAAATTTTAATAACTTTGTTTTTGCGTAATGGTATGTAATGTAACTAATAAAAAAGTAACGATTTGTTTATCATGGAAAGCGATTATTTAAACAACTCTTTGTTGAGCTAATCCAGTTTCAAGAAAATTAATGTTTTACGTGCCACAGAAGCCAAGATATTGCAAATTTTGCAAGCGGGCTTCATTTTAAAAAAGGTTCAAATCGAAAAAAAAATAACCGAGCTCAGATGGGTCTCCATTCTATTTTTTCGAAGCGGTATTTTACCAATACCGTCATTTTAACGGGTTATAAATTTTTACTTCTTTACTGCATATGCCATCTGTAAGTTGGATCGTACAATTCAGATCTACATTTAGGGTCCCTTCAATTTTCAGCTCTTACTGTTAATAGACAATGGAATTTTATTATTTTAAGAATAAAATGCTATGGTTTTAAATATAGAATGCTCTCTTGGCTTGTAATGGACATAGAATATTCTGTTTTTTTAGAAAGTGTGTTTTTCACCAGTTTTTCATTAAGCTTCTATATAAGTTTGTGGCATAAACGATATCAAAGTTATTATATTTGTTAATAAACAAATTAAATAACCTATAAAGTATTTGCTCTATCTGATTAATATTTAGCGCACTTTAATAACCTATTAATTTCCGTAATTTCAAGGAGCTATGTTACATGTCTTTGCGCAAAAAAGAGTTATTATAATTTATAAATAACTGCAAGAATAAGGTTTTTTTGCAACTATTTCGGTTAATGGTTTCATTTATTTTAATTTGGATACTCTCAAAAATTACATAAGTTTTTATTATCTACAACCAGAGAACTACGAACACAGTGTTCGTATTTCTCTGCTACAACTCTAAAAAAGCTGAAAAAAATCTTAAACAGATATTTAAAGTCTGTAGAAGGTAGATGAGGGGTAGCTGATGACAATTATGTGAAGACTTTAGCTAATTTTGCTTTGCTTTTTTTAGTAAACAATCGTTTCTTATATATGTTAGAGATATATGGTTAAAATAAAAGTTATAGATCATAAAATGTTCTCTAATATTGAGATTTTTATAATTAAAATACATAAAGAATTGACCAAGATAATTTAAAAATCCTTATTTTTAAAGTATAATTTATAAATGTTAGTAACTTTCTTTTTTGCATAACGATATGTAATACAACTATTTAAAATTATGGGAGTTGGATTTTTAAAGTGTGCTAAATGTCATACAGAACGATTATACAGTTTATGAGTTATTCAATTTGTTTATCCCGGATACCGAATTAACCGATTTTTTATGGCTTCGTTTTAAATTATAAAAAAAAACATCAAGATTATATTAAATTTGTTTTTAAAAATCGGTTTGAAGAATAACAAATTTTTAGCATATAAAAATTTCTAATAACTTTGACATTTTTATGTCATACACTTGTATGTAGGCTCAATATAAAGCTAATAAAAAAAACATTTAACAAAAACTAAAACCTTCTATGGCCGAGAGGAAATCAAGAATTTTTCTTTCTTGTATAAGAAATTGCTAATATTTTCATTGTTTATTAACATTAAGAGCTGAAACTTGAATACATTGTGGAAAAATATCTAACTCTCATAATTCGATTTATAAATGGCATACACAGTGAAGAAGTAAATTAGTTTTAAAACATTAATGGTACTCGTAATATATCGCCACAGAAAAATGCAAGGGAGATTTGTCCGCTGCAATATCTCAGCTTGTTTCTTGTTATTGGTTACGAAAAGTTCTGTTTTTTTATTGTGCTTTAACACCAGCTTTTCATTGCGCCTACGTACAGCCGTATGACATAAAAATATCAAAAGGAGTATAAATGTTTAGAAGCTAAAAAGTCAGCACTTTTTCAACCTGTTTTTTTATAATAACTTTAATAAAATGTTGATGTTTATAAATAAAGCTTTAAAGAATCGATTCAAAAAACGTCAAATAACTGTCAAAGGTTAAACACCCTTTTTAAAGTTTCAAGTCTAAAGAAATAGGTGCGATCCTTTTCTTCTTTCTTTCCAGTTTGGAAGAGGGTCAATTAAGTACTCACATTTAGGTATTGTGTTACTTTCTAGGTAAACAGCACTACACATCATGCACAGCAATTCAATACTTTCATTTACATAAAACAACTCCAATTCCAACCCAAAATCATATGTCCTTGCCGCAGTCTCTAGGCCTCCATCCCGTTCGTTTTCTAAAAGGGAACAATGTATTGTCATGCACTCCATTTTGAATACTGTTTCACTTAAATATATTAAAGAAATTGGTGAAACAGTTTATCCAAAAAAATTTACTTTTCCATTTCGCATTTCGAATAATCGAATCTGCATTTTCGTCACATCTACCGACATCGTTGATCAACTAAAACATACACCTAACGTCATAATTAATTCCACCGTCATCTTTATCTGCAGGATTATTTCTGCCACCAAACGAATCCCTATTTCAAATATATCTCCTTCCATCCCGCATTCACTAATCGAACAGTCCCTAAAAAATATGGAACATCAGATGATCAATAGGCACATATCATGAGTTTTCTTAGGGTAACATTTTTAATCCCTGACAAGGAGGACTTCGAAGTGCAATCTTCTCTGTTAATTACCCATGAAAATACATCCTTTAAAATATTTTTGTTCTCTGACAGACTATAGTGTTTTCTTTGTAAGCTTACGGGTCGTTACATGGAGTCTGATCGCAAAGTCTCCAGTTGACCAGACCACACACTAACTGGAGCTAATGCTCCTCCCTCTTCTTCATTTTCAGCTGAATCTAAGAAGTCCTTAATCCTAAATCCTTAACTTCATCAAAAGAACTTCTATCTTCGGAAATTGAGTACATCTCCTTTAACGACACACCCATCCTGGCTGCCATTATAAATTTATCCATCCCTCGTCATACTAGTTCAAAGTCCATGTTGGCAGTATGACAAAAAAGGACACTTTAATGACAGTGCTCCTGACACTCCTACCATTATCTCTTCGTCCGGTATTCTTGATCTATTAAGTTCTTTTCCTCCTTGGTCATTCTCGATGCCACCCAAATCAGCCAAAAAATGTCCAAATCTAATCTTTGATTGGATTACTGTATCAAACCTAATTATATTTCCTCTATGGAAACGATTTACAAAGATAATACGACTAATTTTACACTCAATTCCACGCAACTTATAGCATTTCTTAAGAATTCTTTTGTATGTATCACCCCACTACCAGAAACTTAAAAATCCAACAACATAGATGGTATTCAAAAGGACTTATTGCAGCTCTACACAGGTAGAAGGAAAATATTACTAGATCCTTTAACCCGTATTTTTTAAACCGTGTCACTAGAATCTTAAAAAAGTAAAACAGCCTACCTCCTACTTACAAGATATATATATATATATATATATATATATATATATATATATATGATAAATGCCCTCCTCTGATAAATCTTCTTATGTCAAATCTAATCACACCATACATGATGAATAGAATTTCTCTCTCTCACGCATTTATTCATTTTTTCTGCTCTCTGAATATTTTTACTTTATCTTTTGCA